TCTCACCGGCTGCGGTTACCCTCGGGGCGGCTCAGCTGTGACTTCACGGCCCTGAAGCTGTTTTGCAGCCAAAATACAGCTGTGCAACTTAGGGGAAAGGGTTGTCACCACGTAGTGCCTGGTTCACTTAGAAGAAAAATAGTCAGAGGATCGCGGTCTCAGGAGAGTGCCGTTATTGTGAAGTCCAGGCAAACAGCCCCGACTCTCTTGGTAGGCTTCAGACATGCGAATGCAGTCAGGTAAGAACTGCGTGCTATCACATGCAAATAAAGCAAAATTTAACTTCGTTTCAAGACTACGTTCTTGGCGCTGAGTGCTAAAAGAAGCCAATGTGCGTCTGGAACTAGCAGAATTAGAGCGCAAAGAAAGTAAGCCTGTTTCTGACCTGCTTTACTAATGATTAAACAGGCAGAAGGAAAAACTAATGTTTACCATTCAGGCTTCTGTTTGAATGATAGGGATTCTGACTGTGAAGGCAACAGCATGGAAAGATGAAAGTTCATGTTGCAACTTATTTCTGAACAGGCCCTAAAAATAAATCTTTTTCTTCATGTCCTTCTGTTTTCTTCACGTTTTCTGTTCTGTCTTCCCTCCACACATTATCAGTTTTCTTTTTTACAAACTGAAAAAGCAGAAACTGCAGAATTTCTGTGGTCCATCTAGTCCAGTTTCCTATCTCTAGTTGAGTTTCCTGTCTCTGGCTCTGAGCTATGCCAGGGATTTCTGGAAGGAAAAAAAAGAAAACAGGTCCTTAACAATGCAGCTTGTGCCATAATCATAAAGGGAATTTCCCTCTCTGCGATAGCCTTTCAGTTTATGCCCTGAAACACAAAGATGGGCAAACACTTCAGGCTTTATTGCATCTGAAAGACTTATGCTATTCCTTTTCATATAAATAGCTAATCAGTTTTAAACTAAACAATTTTTCTCAGTAATAATCTGCAGCAGTGAGCATCACAGGATTAGTTGCAAGCTTCATAAACGTTCCTGTTGCCAGTTTAGATCTGTGGTATGTTAAGTTCATGAAAAGTCTTCTAATACGTTAGGAAAAAGTAAATAAGAGAGTCTTAGTAACCCTGCAGAAACTACATATTAGTTTTCTTTTACCTTAAAAGGTCTTTTTAAATTAAGTTTGCAGTATCAAGCACTCAGATGTAAATTTTGAAAACTTTAACAAGTACTCTAAGCATATGCATGATAATGAAGGTCTTGGAATCTGCACATCTGTGTTATAGCCCTCTAACCTGCAGTCACCTGATCTCTGTGGATAGACTAACCAATGTCCAGACCTCCATGTGAAATCTATGTCCGATACAGATCCTATTGCAGCATCAGACCATTAGTCTGTAAACTTCTGAGAGCAAGCGCTATCTTTGTTAATTGGTATTAACGATTAGAGAACAGGATAAACAGTTAAATTGTTCAAAACCATAATATTTGCTACTTTTTTCCAGATATTTTGGGTAATATTTCAAAGGAAGAACCAAAATAAGTGCATGGGGTAAACACACATACATGCATGGATACATACGTGCATGCTAATATAAATAGGCATCTTTTCGCTCACCTTTCAGGAAGAACTAGGTGTGGGAAAAAAAAAGGCAGGATTTACTTTGTCTGAAGATGGGAAAAAGTTGTTACTCCAGTGGGTTCAGATATCAAGTCTGCAAGGTAGTGCAGCTTTATTTGGGTTGGTATCCTCTGAGGCACAAGTTGTATCTGCATCACAGAACAGCTATAAGGTACCACTGACTCTCAACCCGCCATTTTTTTTCCTTTGGTATAGCATTACTTCTAAACAGCTGCTTGATAAATAATCATTACACAATGTTTATACAATATCTATTAAAATTATAGAGAGGGTTTCTTTGGGGCTTCAGTGATAATTAAATGAAACACGCTGTGTTGAGGGTTAACTGTTTTAGCATCTGCTTTAGCAGGGATCAAACTGGCAGCAGTAGCAGTGAGGATTTTTTTTTTTTTTTAATAAAAGCCCTATCAGAATCCTTCTAAGCAAAGACCAGTTGAGTAAAGAAACTAATATTTTCTGTGCGTGAGTACTGAAGTATAAAAATATGGAAGTTATGCTGAGTTACATAAGAGATCTTATTTAAACCCAAAAGTCACAGTCACAGGAAATTACAGTTTAAGAGCAGGCTGCTGTGAGGTAGGTGAATAGACCTATTGTCATTACTTCACTGTGTTCAAGACATGAGGCAGGCAGAGATCTGACATCCCCAAGAACATTACACTTATTTGGGATTTTCTTAAAACTTATTTACAGAAAAAAAATATGAAAATAAGAATGATATAGCTAAACGTCAAAATATAGGATTGTTAAAAGTCAGCTGTGAGTTACGCCTCATCTGCATCACAGAGCCTCCGCCTCAAAGCTCTATCAGCATAGCTGCACTGATAGTACAGCAATGTAAACAAAACCAGCAGAAGAGTTTTTCTGCTTGCATACATACTCTCCCTTTCACAGTCACATACAGTGATGAAAGCTTGTTTCTGTCAGCCTAATCATAGCCATTTGAATTTTATAAGTCTTGAGCCGTTCTAGCAGGGCTTTGTACTGCAGTCTTAGGTTTACTCTCGCTTTACACAATTTTATTATTTTTTATCATTCCTGTTATTTCAGAACAGATGGACCTTCAGGGTCGTTCTTATTAGTCTGCTTTTATGTAATGACAAAAACATACCACTTCTGTGAATTCAATAAAAAACCAACACTGCTACCAACAGTTGGTGAAAAAATACTGCTTTTCAAAGTATTAAAATGTTCTACAGTTAACAAAACATTTTTCTGTGTATGCTTTACAGTATGGCTTAGAGCTCAGAAGAGCTCTTGTGTGGCCCTTCTTGTCCTGCAATCTCCCCACGCTTTTTGCCCATCTCCCATCAGGTGATGTGTTAGTTGTGGTCTCACAGATTGACAGAGAAAAGATCTGGGAAGTCTAGAGTTGGCAGCATTTTCCAATTTCTTGCCTCTCCAAGTCAGTCTCCTAAAATTATTAAAGAGCCCTTGAGATGTGGATATGACGTATCTTAAGAGCTATGAAATTGGCAAACAGTAGATGAAGAAAGCAAGTTTGAATCAATTCTTTTGTGCCTAGAATATAATTCTGGGAGTGGGGGCCCAGAAAGTAAGATGAGATTTTTCTTTCTCTGAACAGTTTTTTCGTGGATGAATTTTCATCTTACAGTTCTTTTCACTCTTCAGTAAGACCAGCAGGTAGATCTATATATATTAGAAGAAATGAACACTGGAAGACTAGACTGTTTCTGCTCAAATGCTTAGCAGTGGGGAAGTGCACAAGCAGACCTTTCTCTTCTTGCATTTCCAAGCAACTTGCTGTTTGCTCTCTGAGATCAAGGAGTGCTTCAGGACGTTAGTAGGCCAATTTGAAGACAACTAGCTTATTTCACCTCAAATAAATTTAGGAGGCTGTCACAGAAAGATTTCTTCAGGTCGGTATCCAACAGTTCGGAGGACTTCTGTCATTTAATAGACTGCTTTAATATTGTATTTAGGGCAGTATGGTTTCAGTTACACTAAGACTTATCCAGGCTTGAAGTTTTAGGCCTCTTTAGCTGCTCTTTCTGATAAGCTTTATAAATATATTTTTCTTTGCTGTTGAACTGTTGAGTAGCGCACAGACAGTGGGACTTGACTGCTGGTGTGCCTCACAAAGGTGCTCCGGCTTTGAGGTATTATGTATTCACAAACAAGACAGAATTGACCGTCTGCTTGAATTGATCATCTTCTTCATAGACTAGTGATGAATATTTATGTACCTCGTATCTGGCTTGCACTGCAGGTGTCATGACCCTTACACAGTCATGCTAGTCTGAGAAGTTAAATGGTGTGAATGCTGATAAAGGAAAGCCAGGTGTAGAAGTGTGGTGCTCTTTTGTTGACATATGTCAGCCATGCTCCTTAACCCTATGAGCTGGATTTTTTCCAACCGTGCTCATACATTCTTCTCTTGATCCCAAGGAATGTCCAAAAATAAAACAAAACCAATGAGGCAATGATTCCTCAGTCTGATGTAGTTGCTGTTCCTGTAGTATTGTGTGCTGTACAAATTAAAGGCCAGAGGCAAAGTGCTGAGTGTAAATGGAAACCTTTCATTCTTATATCATTTCCCCAACTCACTTCTTTGCTCATCATTTGCATAAGGGTCGATAAAATAGCAGTAACAAGATACATGAAAATGAAACAATGACACGCAACATGATGGCCATAAAATAATAAAAAAATAGCTAGGATTCTATTTTATCTTTGTAAAATGTAAATGTATATATATATGTTATATAGCTTGCTGTTTCTCAGAAAAAATTCTTGCCTTTTGTTTTGTCCTATACTTCACGGTTCTGAAGAATAAAATGACATGTATGATGATTACAAGTATCAGATGGCTTGATTTTATAAGACATATTTTTAGTCTCACATAATAATATAATAATAAATGAGATCTGAGTATTTACTTCTAGATCACTGAAACAGGTAACTCAAAAGAAGCTTCACAGCATTGCACTTGCCTCTCAGTCACATACCTCACACATCCATGGCTAAAAAAAAGCTTTTCCCTGCATATGACATTTAAACTATACTTCAGGTATAGCACTGCACAAACTTTTTTGGTCACTTCAGATTCTTTTCTTTTGGTCAAGAACAGCTAGTACACATACAGAAAACAGAATCCTGGAATGCTTCTCCTTCTTGCCCACATTTTTCTAAAATTATGGCAAAGAGCCACACCATGACTATGCATTTAGTTCAGATTTTGTGTTATACGCTCACATTTGGTCAGTATTCATAGCATTTTTCAGCTGTTAAAAATAAACAAACAACTACACTCCTTTGTTTCTGCAAAGTTTTATCCCAGCAGTATGCCTCAGAGTTCCTGGTGAGGAAACGTCGAGCAAATTCTTTTATGGAAGAAAGTAAGAAGGGAAATTTAGAAAGAGAATGCATTGAAGAATTATGCAATAAAGAAGAAGCCAGGGAAATCTTTGAGAATAATCCTGAAACTGTAAGTATCTGATGGATATCTGTGAGGAAGGTAGAAGTTTTTGCAGAGGGAAGGGGTTGCAGCACATAGAATTTACACTGCAAAGCTTAAACAAAAACCAAACACAGAGCAAGAACTAGTGTGATACTCTTGTGTACAGAACCTGCACAATTAATAATGAAGACCGTATAAGAACAGAGGCTAGCTAAGTAGATATTATTTTAAAATACGGATCACCAATTTTAGATCACTGTTGTCTGCAAACATTCCACATGGGGGAAGCCTGTTGGCTTCAATTAAAATTTTACACAGAGGATGCATGACAATGCAGCCCTTTTAGTGAAGGGATCGGACGTTTTACTGTAAGCTTTTTTCTAGTGGTGAGAACGCTGCTCCTCAGTGCATTCCCACTGCACATTATTTAATACTAGGCATATTTTATTCAGCTTTGTATGATAAAATAGATATTACTTATAAAGTATGTATGGTTAAAATGAATTTTTATTTTGCAAACTATGCATCAATTCCATGTTCTGTCTTTGATAGCATTGCATGTGTGTGGATATACTGATTGTTAGGACTACATCTTACCTCATAATCAACCATCAGCTGTTTTTAACTATTTCTATTTTAGTAACACTTCGTTTTCTTTTAAATGAGTTACATATGAGATGTTCAACATATTACTTCAGGGTAGTGAGGGGCAGTAATGGAAAAAAGGAGGCTGTTACTGTAGTAAGACTAACATTGGACAACACCCATCCAGAAAGATTGTTTTCAGACAATCATTCACATTCATCAAACAATCATTCATTTCGACACCTAGTTCATTTTCACTGCCTTCACTTTGAACGTCTCATGGAGCGAAATGAAATTCAGTGAGGACCTTAATCTTCCCTCCACTAGTGACTCAGAGGCCTGTTTAATAAATATCGCTGTCCTAACTTAAACAGTGCTGATATAGGTCAAGTTGTCTATATTTTATGAATCAAAGTGATTTTCTTTTTTACTTCTGTTATAGTTATAATAAATATACATTTTAGAATGTGTTCAGTGATATAACTTGCTATAATTCTACCTTAAACCAAATCAGATTTCTCTTATTGTTTACTTTTCTTTTCTCTCTGCAGGAGTATTTTTATCCCAAATATTTAAGTAAGTACAATTCTGGTATATCGTTCACTGCTCTTCTTATTTGTAATACCACTTTTGTTGTTCTAGCCATAGAGCTTGAATGATTTCTTTGCTAATTGTAATGCATAGTAGCTCCTAGGCAGTTCTGTGTGCTTAGATCCCAGCAGAGACGTTCATAAGGTGGGTTTGTGATCAGCTGTCCATAATATGCCCAGACAGTTTTTCTAACTCAAGCTGTGAGAACAGACTCTTTGAAGATGCTGTGCATAAGCTGTTGTAATTTCAGTCTAAATGAGTGTTTGTAGCATAAGCAGATTGTGTGGGTTTGCATTTGCAGGCTGCCTTGCCTCCCATCGAGCAGGGATTTTCAGGGTTATTGCAAGTACTCCAGATTCTCCGGCTGACCTGAGGGCTTGTGTCAATGGTAAGCACTGCTTTTGTATACTTCACCTGCTGCACTCAGACCTAAGTATATGCACTTGCTTGGCTAGAAAGCTATTCACACAGGCAGAAAAAGAAACAAATCTCTGTTTAACTCAGGCAAGCACAATTACCTGGAACAGAAATTCACATAAAAACAACTAAGTGAGACAGCATTTTCAGAGTAAAAGGTGTAAGTAAGTGTTTTTAACTGTGCTCTGGAAAAGAAACATAATTAATTGCAAAATGCTCCCGTTTGTAAAGCTCTTCTAGAAGCATAGGAGAATTTGCTGCCTCAGGCCACTGCCACCCCCTACTATGTCCTGTGCACAATACCAGAGTCTTTAATAATTGTGCATGACTGTTCACATTTAGCTGATCCTGTTTTGTCAGTTAAGGGAACAGACCTTCTGCTTAATTCTCCTCTGTACCACTCTTTGGCCTATAGTTAAAGTATGGCACTTCCTGAAGTGGGTAACATTGCCAGCTGAAGAATTCAAACGTTAGGTAGAAGACACAGTCGTCTTGACTCTAGACATAAGGTCATAAAACACGAAATCTGTGGTGTTGCTCAAACATGTAGTTTTTAAGATTATACATTCACAAATACAGTGTGAATAGTATATTTTCTAATAAATTCACAGGAAGCAATCGGTACCATATTCCCTACTTGTTGCAATAGAAACATCTCTCTACAGTTCTTAAACTGTAAGAGCTTGGTTACGTCAAAAGAGTTTTCAGTTAGTTTGAATATACATACTTACCCTAAAGCGTCTGACCCTGTTTTTGTAATTGAAAGCAGCTGAGAACAAAAAAGAAATCCTTAATAATTACACTGCACACGGTCATGGGTGAACATATTTTCCAGATCACTTGGCCAACGTGCCTGCTGTCACAGACTAAAATGGACTCCCATTCATCTTCTCCGTCTTTCTCACTCTCATTAGAGGTCTTGGGAGGAATGGAGTTAGCAGAGTTCTGTGGATGTGCAGTGTTTCTGTATTACTAACCATTTCTCAGTGAGAACAACTAGTTTACTTGATACTCATTTTATTTCTCTCTTTGGGTTCACATTATAAAAATCAAACGAAACAAACTGTTACTACTGGTCAGTCATCAGGAAAAAGGAGAAGTAAGAAGATTATGCGTAAAAATTTCAAAGTTCTCGAAGGCTTGAGTATTCAAAGAAGTTTAGGCAGAGCTTTTCAGGAAGGGATTTACTGCTGAGAAAGTAAGTGGGATTTAAAATTCCCATTAAGAATATATAATGATTTTTTTTTTAAATCATGTTTTCACTGAGACAAACTTTTTGTGATACTGATACCCACAGACTTTTTAATTTTGAAAGTTTTGACTTTCTTTTTGAATTTATTCATTTTTTTGTATTTTCAAAATGATCTGATTTTCCTAATCAAAATTAAATAACTATAATATAATAATTAGTTTATAGTAATCTTCTCAAGGTGAAAAACTAAGCAAACAATGACAATACAAACTTAACAAAAAATAACTTAACTATTTTCATATTTGTCTAAATGATATATTTTAGATTCACAAACACTGACATTTCTGGATAAATGATTAAAAATTATGGAATATTTTGACATTTTTATCCCATTTGGGAAGGAAAAGGAAAATTTTCACAGATCTTCTCTTACACATTTCTGATCCAAGCAGCTATCTAAGCTGCATTTTTGAGTGCCTAAACATCTATATCACATAATTCTGCACACCTGTAACTTCATTTGAAAATAAGCTCTTAAAAATCTCTGTATTTAATATTCACACCGTTCACCGTGACACATTTCATGGGTATCAGATACTCTGAGTGGCAGAGGATAGAGGTACCTCCACACATTCCTGGCCACCTACCCTTCCACTGTAGGCTGAGTAGTTCTTCTAACAGTTAGCCGTTGCCACAGAGGTTTCTCAAAGAGCATCGCTGGATCGTAGGTCAGAAGAAAGCATCCCAGTTGGGAAAAGAGGAACACCAGGCCTCTTTTCAGAACAAATGACTGCTACATTACTGTCCCTTCTGTAGCACATTAATCCTTCATCTGTGGACATTATCTCTTTGTCTATCCATTACTATCCATCCATTTTTGTGTTCCTTCTCCAGTGTATTTCACTGGTTCTCCTTTTCTCGTCTTCCCCAGTTCTCTCTTTTTATGCACTTAATTCACCCCACTCCATCAAATCCTATTTGGCACTGCCAGTCCAACCCATTGTCTTTTTCAGATCACTCTCTCACATGCCCCCAGTGCCTTTTGCTCAGAAACTTTTCCACTCAGTTCTTTTCCTTGGTTGCGCATGCTGAGGGTCAGCTTCCACTTTCTATTATTTACATAATGCTTTGCTTATACCAAGCTTAGTTCACATGCTTGTTCTTGAACCTACAAAAGCAATGAAGGAACAAGAAAGAGGAAAAAGCGTAGGCACTTCCAGAACTGACATTTGGTAATTGCCATGAATTAGCCATACATCAAGCCCATAATTTTTATTTCTTCTGTGCCTGTCCATCTGCACCTGTAACTGGAGTTCTGTGATTTGCAAAACAAATACTACATGTCGTGCAACTGCTATCATGAGATGCGGTATACTTTTGGAGCTTGGCTGGCCTCTGGGGTTTTGGATTTACTTGCAACAGAATCTAATTACAACTAGATTTAATTGACAGATAAAGTAACAACAGATTTCATTAAGCTTTCTTTGTAACAGAAGGGTATACATATTATTAATATGGGTCCCGGTTCTTTTGAATACAGTAAAAAAGATTCAAGGAATCCATTGGAGCCTTATATACAGAATCGCTGTAGGTTTACGTCTACAGGAACACTGACCTTTCATTTCACTTTTCTGAATCTGAACTTCACAAAATCCTTCCTTCTTTTAATTCTGCCATGAATGTTCTGGCAGGACACTACTTTTTCAAAAAAAAAGACATTTTAGAGCTTTATAAGAACCTAACTCTAAAGTAAAAACAAGATATATGTAATTTTTGGAGGCCTGCCGGAAAAAGAATCCATAAATCTACCATAAAACCCTGGAAAACTAAATACAAAGATACCTTACATGGCATGCTGATGTAAGATTATGAAAACGGTGGGAAAAGTTAAAAGACATTTATGTATTTTGAGTAGAGCAAAAAAGTGAATTTTGTTGTGCGCCACAAACTGATTTGAGCTTTACTTTCTGAGGGCATGTCAGCATGTATAAAGAGTCCTCAATTGCTCTTTCCATACCAAATTTCAGTTCCTGTCGATGAAATTAGTATATGCGAAAGGTGACAGTATTGGACACTAATGCGTATCCAGTCTGCCCACAGAACCTGCGCAGCTGCAGCCATCATCTGAGGCGTAAGATTCTTTGTGAAGATGACCTCCCTTGAAAAAATAAATTGATCTTTGTATTCTTCAAACTTTGGTTTTTCTACTGAAATTTGTGCTAAGACTCCTGAGATAATGAAGCAGAGTATAGTTCTGTAAAAAGTGAAATAAGTCCTTAAAATGTAATGAAGTATCAAGCCTACATTTGGTCACAGCTTTCAGGGATTAACATGGTTTAGTGAGCCATTTGTTTTCTAGTTGTTTTCTCTTTGGCAAAGAAAAAGTACTAGTGTTGGTGATACTGTCTCTGGATTAGTTTTAGAAGGTGCGGTGTGTCATGGTGGGTTTTTTTTGTTTATTTTTGACACTTGCTGATTTTTACTAACAGAATTAGTAGGGAGGTTGTTATATGCTTGATCTCATGCGTCAAACTCTTTCCTTTCTTATGAAAGTTTCCTGTGAGAGGACAAAAAGACAACTAAGCTGACCACTGAGGAATAAAATCATCCAAATAACAAATATTTCCAATGTTTTCCCTCCCGCAGAAATTTCAAACCAGTGTAGCCCTCTGCCATGCCATAGAGATGGATATAAGGACTGCATAGATGGACAAGCCAAATATACATGTGTCTGTAAACCAGGATGGCAAGGAGAGAAATGTGAAGAAGGTATAGTCTCTACTGTCATTATGGTGATAGTTCTCAGGGACACAGTTACAGTTGTTCTAGTATTATTGAATAGTATCAGATGTTTAAGAATACCTACACATACAGTTGGTTAATGAATCCCTTTAATTAATGAATGAATTAATGAATGAATCTTTAATTAATGAATTTTTATTTTGTTTTCCTTCTAGATATAAATGAATGTGAAAACATAAATGGAGGTTGTAGCCAACGCTGTTCTAATTTACCTGGAAGCTACCGCTGTTTATGTGAAGATGGTTACTTTATGCATTCAAATAAACAAGATTGCAGAGGTAGGAAGTGACTTAAGGAGAACATTGTTACGTGACAGTACATTGCTTGTAAACTAGAAAGGAAAGAATTTATGCTGGTACTTCCATAAGTGCTCTGAGTCAACAGCAGCTAACATTGCCTCTGAAAGAAGCAGTCCTGATCCAACCTGCCTACTCATCCCACCTCTTGCCTTACACCACCACAAGCATTTGTGTAACCATGTAGCGAACCAGATCAAGGAACTGCGATAGGTCAAAACCAACCCAGGGTCAGGGGAAAGCTAGATACAAGATTCTGCTTCATTGCTAAGAGGTGTGTAAAGCTGAGCAAATCTAGGCTCATTAACTACTTACCAAGGTGTATTTGTTTCAGTCACTAACCAGTTTCACGTAGCCTTTAAGCATGCTGAAACAAGAATCTAAATTGGTGGGACCAGGTAACACTCTTACAACAGAAATCCTGTCTGGCAAATGGTGGTGCAGGCTGAATCTCCTCTTAATTTGTGATGCTCTTCTTTTGGGAGTTTGTAAGTTCATTGGAGAAGAAACTATTAATAAATCTGAAAATGCTCTTCATAGAAGAAAAAAAGTACTCAGCCAGCATGATGTTTTTCTTACAGGAAAGTGTCTGTACTATCGACCATGACCTCCACGCTTCCTTCTATTCCAGATAAGGTTATGTAATAACATAAGCAACAATTCTTCCTGCAGAGTTAGAAAAAGTGCAACCTCACTTAATTTTTAACATCATATATTTCATTGCTGAACAATGCCAACAGTTTTGGATAACATCAAATTATTTAAGAGACTAGGCTTTGAGGATATCTTCCACTGTTGCCTCTTTTAGTGGATATATTTTTGTGAATGAATAGTTTCAAGAGAAATTCCAGAAGAATCAGAGATAGCTGTTGTGTCAAAAAGAGCAGGCAGATAAGTTGGTTAGCCTTTCAGCAATTCTTGGATAGATACTGGAAAAGCTGGTGTTAAAAAAAAAAAAAAAAAGATAGACATATATTACTATAGGTCTTAATTTGGTTCAAAGAGGCAAGAGTCTAGGTGCCAGTGTAATTCTTTGCAAAAGTTTCAGTGTAGCACAATGCTTGGCTAAAAAGAATGAACATTATATAGAATCAATAAGTAACATACAAAGTAGAAGAACCAGCTAACTGATCTCAAAAAATATTTCTCAGTGAGATGATTATTTAATGGGGATATTTCTAGTGGCGCTTTACAAAAATTAACGGTAAGGCCAGCTCTGTTCACTGTTTTCACTAGTGACATAAGCAAAAATGTGAGTAGTGATCATTCAAAGACTGGCAAATTGGTAAATTAGAGTGAGGACTAAGCAGCCAAAGTGCTGTTTAGGTCATCTGATAAACTGGATTACATCCAGGCACAAAATTATGCATTTAGGAATTTGGAGTGCATATCAGAACTGCAGAAAAGTAGAAGCTTTGACTCCAGAAAAGGTTTTGTGAGTCCAGCAAGCAAGTAGCAGAACCTGCGCTCCCAGTGCACTGTTGTTTCTGCAACCACCACAAAACCATGGAGAAAACTGAAATGATCTTTTCACATACAAGTGGGAATTGAAGTACTTCCCGAAAACTGATATTGTTCTGTCTACAAGACATTTAGTAAGATTGATACCATATGCTGCCTCCAGTTGCAGAATCTGCATTTTGAAAATGACATTGAAAAATTGGAAACAACACTGAAGATGGATACTAAAATGATTTGAGGGATGGAGGGACAGTGAGAGACTTGTACACCTGTTAATATAGCCAATTAGAAGAAGACTGTGAGATGAACTGATTGTAGCACGTAGGAATATCTGATAGGATTACCTCTTCTTGTCTTTCTGCATGTCTTTTTCTAAGATATGCTTTTATTTTGCGGTCTTGCTTATTTTATAGGAAATTTGTGGACTGTGTTTCTCTTTTACCTTTTTAGACATGTATCCCTTTTCCTGTTATCCACAAAAAACACAAGAGAATGTGAAAGGTAGGCAGGCAGAGAAATCACTTTTCAGTGAGGAGAAGATAAATGCTATTCAGAGTCATCTGGAAATCTTTATTGCTGTAGGTAAACTGCTGTGAAAGCATGTTAAACCTAGGAAGAAAGACCTAATTTGGCAGCCTTCTTCACGATCCCCTGTTCCCTGTCCAAGTTCTCATGATCTTGGATAGGGGTCAGGATAAAAAGTTGTGCAAGCGAGCAATTTGTTTTTAATAACTTGTTTGTATTTCTAGATATAAATGAATGTGTGCTACGTCCAAACATCTGTGGGACAGCTATCTGTAAGAATACCCCTGGGAAATATGAATGTGAATGTGCAGAAGGCTACACATATAATTCAACTTCCAAGAACTGTGAAGGTATATCTTTTGTTTATTTATTTTTTAATTCATTGCTGTAGCAAACTCCAACATCTCTTGTAGTGGTGTATTTTACTAATCTTCATATTGTCTATTGCAATATGACTCAAGTGTTGGTTCTTTTAGGGGGTTGATCAGGCTGTGCTACATACATGCTATGTGCTGCCATGACCTACTCACAGATCTTGGAGGGTTAAGGTATACTCCCCTGTGTCCTGTTGTATGCCAGATACTTTCTCAGTTCATAGGAGGTCTCTTGTCTCAGCAGAGAAGACTTTCTGTCCGTGCAGAACTCTTGCATGGTTATGTCTCAAACCAGTTAGCATATTTCTTTCAGATAACTTGGAGCAATGTGTTGGGGATCTGAACACAACTAGAGTGTCTGTTTCAAGCATGGTTACACCCGTAAGGATGGAATATTTGATGTCAGACACTTTGATATAAATCCCTAACTCAAGTGAGGTAATGGTAAAAGCAAATAGAAATAGTAGTTATTTGCCATTTCCAAACTAGGTAAGAAAATTAGGAAGACTTAGAAAGACACAACTACCAGAAATGAAAACCATGCTTAACCTATTTGACTTGAGGAAAACCTAAAAAGCTTCTCCTTATCCACATAGCCAAGGGCTTAATCTTTTGTGCTTTGTAGGTCTGTATGTTTCAGATAGGTCCATGAAAGAAATTTCCACGGGGGTCAGTGAATCCCTTTTAAAATGATATTCAGGCATCTAACCTTCCCTGGGGTATCCTGTTACTTTGGAAAATAACAGCTTTAGGGTGAACTGACCTCTGTACCAGGCTGGGAGTGACAGCATGACAGTCATATGAAAGATTTGTTATAAGGATCCCATATTTGAAATGAAAACCATTTTTCCACATCTAGAAAAATACTATGAAAGGAGCAGCTGCACCAAAAGAGTCTTTCCTTAAGAATATTCTTTTCTTAAGTGAAAATCTGGAAGAAGGAACCTTAAGACAAAAGTCGTATAACAATTACAAGAAAGTTGAAAAATACCAATAGCTAGTGGTAAAGTGGCAAGAAGCCATTATCACAGAGACCATTATAAAATAACATTTTTAAGTATTTAAAGTATTTGCAGAATTGTCCTAGAGTAGATTTTAATTATCTCTGCCAATTAAACTTTTTGTATGTTTAATACATACATCAGAAATTAAATTTCAGTTATAGAAGAGATGTATGAGCTCTTAAAGCTTTATTACGGAATGCAATTTTTTACTTCCCCCATTTCAGAAATACATATCAGTGACCGAGTTTTAACTAAAACACTGCCTTTATGTTCTTGCCCCAAAAGAGTCAAAAGTAGTTACGAATCTTTTGGTCCATGCCTTTTCATTCAGCTTGCTGATGACAAAACTTCATACAGTGATAAAGATTACAAAATCAGACTTCTGCTCTTCTTTATCCAGTTACTATGGAACTAAAAATGTTACTGACAGAATTTTGTGTCCCTTTTACATGCATTGGAATGAGAAAGACCTCACACTAATTAACCTCATTTCCTCCCCTCTCACTATTCCCCGCAGATACATGGGTTGCATCAAATAATTGAATTTATTTTTTTTCTGAAATTGGGATCCCAGAAGGTTGCCAGATGCAGACATTAAAAGCAGCAATGTCTTACCTCCTGGAAGGAAGATAATGCTGCTAAGCTTTCAGACCTCGTTATGACCACATTAAGTGAGTCACCAAATCCTATCTAAGGACAAGATTGTGCAGATAGACAGAAATTAGCTTTTCATTGTTATGTTGCATGTGGGTGGCCAAACTGAATCACACTTACTAGAAAAATTAGTTTTACATACATTTATACACACTTATGTCTATGATGGCAGATGCAACAGAGAGGAATTGAAAATATTTTTTTCACTGATTCTTAGGAGAAGGTTGCTGCAGTAGTTTTTCATCCCCACGTTCTGGAAGATGCCATCAGTGGAAGATATCTGTACAATACAGTGTTTGTTTCACAGAAATCACACCAGTTTAGATATAGAATCTGTTTATCTTCTTCTGACTACCTTTTCAACATCCTAACACAAAATGTAGCAGAGGGAATAAGAAGTATGCGTATTGTGCCACAAGGGCCTGGCTTGCAGTTAGCATGTAGGAGGCAAACTAAGCCTATGTTTTAAGGAATGACCTAAATATTTTGCATCTCTTTACCCCATACCCCTCTTCCTTTTCCTAAAGAAGCATCTTCTCCTAAAGAAACAACAAGTTAAACAGCACAGAGTATGCCTGTATTTCAGGTATTAATCCATAGTCTGAAAATTTGAGATGGGGAATTAGCCTTTCCCCTTCCCACATGAATTAACATGCTCAGAACCCTGCTTATCCACATCCATGCTCTGGGGAAATCACCATTTTTCCCTAGTGTTGTATAGAGCAACCCCCTTCTAGGACACAACTGGCAGTTCCTTTGTGGCTTATTTTATCATACCTTAGCAAGTCATCCAAAGCAGCAAATTATTTTAGGCTTCCACTGAAAATAGCCGTATGAACCCAGCATGCTGCTCAGGATCATGAGTTTATATGAGAAGCTTCTCCTGCCTGTTTTATGATGTGGGACTGACATTTGGAGAGATCTGTGGGAAGCCTTTGGAATAGCACAATGCAGAGATGTTGAATACATCTTGAAAGAAAAAAAGCAGGATAGTTATAGCATATGTGATTTAAAAAACTCCAAAAAACCTGCTCCCCACCTCGCTGTGCAAGTCAGCATTTTTGTAGCAGGGCAATTAGCTCTGCACAGTGAGATCCTGCCATTTGGACTGATGAGGGATTCCAGAACGCCTGCGGAGAAATGAGAATTTTGTACCTATGCAAGAAACTTGCCTATCCCTTCGGTGCTCTAGTACACACTAGAGGGAGACCTTACTTTTGAGCAGTAGATTGATATCGGTAATGGAAATTGACACCCCAGACTGATGCAAGTCTGTGAGTAATTGGTTTAATGATAGAAATTTATCTGTCAAGCAGTGTGTAATAAGCTTTCATAATACCTTCATAAGCCTCTGTTTATCTACAGGCTCTGGCCCAAGGAATATGCGTGAAATAACTCCTACTTTCAGAGAATGCAACACGCAGATTTACATTAATGCTGCTGATTATCCAGTGCTTATAGTTTTGTTTTTCTACTGCTACGTGTTCATGTACTGAAAGGAGTACAAGATCTTTCACAGAGAACAAGTCTCCTAAAATGTCTATACAGAGCCATACCCCTATACAGGGCCTGAAAAGAAAGGTGCTTCTGAAAAAGTACTCCAGTTCAGGGTCTTGCTCCCCCTCAGAATCTCTTGGCTGCCATTCCTCTCAAGAGGTTTTGAGTGGCGCATTTCCTTTTACATCTCCACTATCGCTTTTTTTGTTTCTTGTCCTCTGTAACATCATCCATGTCCTCAGACTTAAGTGGGTTTTAAGATCCCAAAATGATCATAATGGGAATGAAAGATACTTTTCTAAAACCAGGCAGAGTAAGGAAGGACAGAGGAAGAATTCTTCTCACCTAGAGCACAGTGTGAGTAGGCTACATTTTGGAATTTATCATTGCCTCATTTGCAAGTTTGATCGGATGTGAAAATATAGTAAAACTAAAAAAAAAAAAAAGCAGCTGATGACATTGTAACACATTGTTTGTAGCCTGTCTTAATTTTAAATGGACATCAGATTGCCAGTCAGCAGAAATTATTACAAAGTGGCTTTCACAGCAGAACCTCTTTCACCAAGCTGAGCTTGCAATCTGTATCAGGTTAGGCAACCCATCAAGGCCATAAACACTTTGACTCTTACTAAATGGAAGAGTACACATGCCAAACAATAGAGAGGTCATCTAAGCATAAACGGAGGAAACGAAGGGGTCAATCTCTTAGCAAAATTTGTTCTACCAATTGACAGAAATACTGCTGCAGGACTGATTTGTAAGCATTGTGCCCCAGGCGTACAGAAAGAAGTTGGGGCAAGCTTCTGAAATAAGCACTTAAATGTGGCAACCCACCCCAGTATCTTATTCCTCTAAGTACTACAGGTGGCAAAGGCCAAAATGAATGAAACAGGGCTTAAGCCATCAGCAGCGGGTTGGTAATTTATACCTGCAGGAGTTTCTACAAGTATATATACATGCAGAGTATACCATTTTAGTAGCGAAGCTTTCTCAAATCTGACCAAAAATAAAACTTAAAACTGACCAACATTCTCCACTGAAGAGACTATGTAATTTCAGACACAATTTAATTTGTACGTTCATTTTTTTTAAAAGTAATTCCAGTTATGGTAATGCAACAGCACAAAACATCTGCAAAACATCAAGTCAACCTGAAGAAACATTATTACTGTACTTCTATATAAGCAATTGGTTTTACCCTTTTAGCTGATGTTTTGGATGCACATTTGAATGAACAGAGGGAAGGAGCTTGTAGCCTTTTCTGCAGCTACCTACATAAGATCAGTTAGAACCCGAACAATCCAAAAAGCCACAGTCATCAACTTTCCAGTAATTTCTCAGGAAATCTCTTTCAGTATATATCAAAACTTTCCTCAGAACAGGCAAACATGGCAGGCAGCACTTGCTGGTTAAAGATTTGAGGTCTTCTACTTGTTTTTAAAACCCAACGTATCCTCAGAGAATTCTCCTAGAATAGGCAATGGAACAGCGTGCAAAGCAGTTGGTCTGCATCCACTGTTTTTAAAAGTACCATAATCACGTGCAGAGAACGCCCCACAAGAACCTTGTCGCTGTTCCGATCCTCACCTCCTTCCTTCCAGGAAAAGGAACTCTCTTTTAGCAAAACAGAAGCAAGGGAGATGGTGAAGTTGGCTGTAGAGTGCTAAAAAATACCACGTTGAGTTCTGCACAGCTTGAACATACTACAGAGTTAATACTAGGTTTCTGTAGTAGAACACCTGAGACACCTGATATGCTTCTAGCATGCCATTGCAATCCTGCAGATACCCAAACTCACTGAGCTAGTTCAAACTGGCATTGGAACTCACTTTTGGAAAATAGAAAAAAAAATATCCAAACCACTCTGTTATATTCCATCAGCTTGCTACATGATAGGAGATGATTCTCAGCTTGGTAGAGCAGAGGTAAGCTATCACTTTGGAGGAGCAGTGACTCAGAACAGTCACTGTTCAGTAGTCTACATGAAGAGCGAACATGAAAGTTTGGTATCACAAGGCTATATAAAGAAGGGAAATGCAACTCGCTGAGATCAGAGGGTAGAATGGGAGATGAGCAGGAGGAGGTGGGACTTACGTGAACACCACGAGAAGGACTGCATTTGACTCCTGTAGTTCACAGCTCGCACAACCACACTGCAGAAAAGCTGACATAGCATGTGGCTGGACCTTGAGCAGAACTTGTGAGTTTTGGCTGTATTTTGTTTCTTTAGAAATGTAACAGCTACAGAAGCCTTTCACACAACCTTTCATTTCTAAATTATTTATTGCATACAGCCTACAAAATAGCAAATGGTTTAGCTTATTCACAGATACATTTTGCTGTTACTCAAGTTTGATAGGTCTCCACAAATAGATGTTGCCTGAAACTTAGTTTGAGATTACTGTATGTCATTTTAAGGAATATTTTGCCCTCAGAGATCATTTTGGCCTTATGTGAATAAAGCCTGTACCTTCTCCAGCTACTTGCCATACATACTCTTAATACTCTAACTTTGAATGCCATCTACAGGGAAAGGAAGAGGTCTGACCCAGAATGGCATTTCTGCCATAAACGGTAGTGATTTATGGAGGTCTCTTCCACTAATTCACCACCCTTCAGGTCAGCTTTTTACTGCCTCGCAAATCAGACCAAATTTTCCCCAGCACTGCACACAAGGCATCTATCAGATTACTAGGGCTTATACACCCAGAAAGTATCTAGACTGTAAATTTTAAATAGGAGACATCCATTAGCATTAGTTTAGGTTAGCAGCAGTCACCTACTGTATTCTTCTTATGCCGGAGAATGCATCTTGTCCATTATTGCATTAATTTAATGTGTTTGTTTTCAGTCTATACCATGAATTCTCTGAATAAATCTCCTTCTGTACACTTCCATTCCTCCTAGATATTGATGAATGTGCTGAAAATATTTGTGCTCAACTTTGTGTAAACTCTCCAGGAAGTTATAGCTGTTATTGCGATGGCAAGAAAGGCTTCAAGCTTTCTAAGGACATGAAGAATTGTGAGGTAAAACTGCACTATATAAAATTCCATGGGCAAAAGCATGTAGTTGGATATTGCTTTATGACAGGGTGTGTTAGATTAGGGAAAACAGAAAACCGTTTGAGAACTCATCCAAAATTGCTGAGAAACTGCTGGGGACTCTAAGTTGTGGTTTGGCTCACGAAGCAGACCCAGTAGGGATTTGGATGCCATTCAGTTTATGCATGCTCACTTTCAGGAATCCTGTCAGGAGATGCCTGCCTTGGCCAGTCTTTTTTATTCCCTTGCTGCTACCAAAATAAAAGCCCCAGCTTTTTCCTGTCAAAGAAGTAATTCCTATCCGGCTTACTCAGAGCCAGAATACTCTATTTGTCCATATGTTCCCAGGTTTTCTGTTGACCGCACAAAAGGTTTCACTCACTTTAAGAATTACTCTGTGCTTTGCTAGTTGAAAAAAAATGCATTTTTTTCCCACAGTTCGGATCTGCCATAACTTAAGAAAAAGCCCTTGGTAATATTTGCCCATGGAGAGCATGTCACAGCCAAAATGGACTCTTCTTACTCAGTTTGAACATTGCACTTTTTAGTAACAGAAAATTTGGAACTCCAGAGAATCCCAGTGAAAGGATTTTCTGTATATACTTTGAAAGTTTCAAGCAGGCTGAGACTTGTTATTTGAGATAAGCACAGATAACTTCCAGCAAAAAAACCCACAACTCTAACACAGTATAATAAAATTGGGCTTGAACTGTAGAAACAAGGTCTGGCACTGCACTATTATGTATTTATTAAAATTTTTCTACTCTCTAAAATTTAATATCTGAACAACACTGGGAGTCATTGCATTTCCTGTTGCTTATTTGTGGAGTAGGAAGAGCATCTTCTAGCCTCGTCACATATTATCTTTCAATACTGCTGTTTCAAAAGTGATTAAGCATGTATCTGGAAGTTAGTTTCAGAGACTGGTCATACTGGCGGACATAAAAATGCAGTGGACAGCATTCAGGAGGAATGCTTGTACTTCTAAAGAGATTGCTGCATCATGAGTATACAAGTCAGAGTTTGGGAATGTTAATCATTAACAGTTTACCAGACTACCAATCCAGCATGTTTTGAAAATAGAAGAGCCTTTCACACCTATTCTTGTTGATTCTTTTCTGTAGAATGGGTACACTGCCATGATACAAAAGATATACAAGAGGTGTCTTGAGGGATAACTTTAGGTTAGAAAGGCTCTCAGGCTCCTACTAGTAGTTGGTGAGACAGGTACTCTGAACCACATTCTGCAAGAGCCTTTCCACCTCTCCAAATGCAGAGGCTAGTTCCCTGTACATAAAGGAAGTCCAAGTACTTCCTTTAGTGTCAGAGTAAAAGTATAGTGTCATATCAAAAGTATATATACTTGAATTTTGGCAACTGTTTCACAAAAAAAAAAAAAATCAAAAAAAAAAAAAAAGGCTGTAGCGCTTTAGAGTGGATAGCTGACCGAATTCAATTTACTGAATGTTTTACCAGCTTAAACTTACATAACATGTAAAACATACATTATCCCTGGATATAAGGATCTCTTTGTTCACTGCTGAAATACAGAAGCTGTGTAAAGCTTCAGGTACCTTAATGCCTGAAACAATATAAGCGCTAAAATTTTCTTCTGATTGGGGCGGCAGCTAGCTGACTGTTAATATTCACATTGGACTGTGGCTAGAGCATTAGGATTAATTCCACTTTCACGTACTGCTGGGGGACCTTTAGTTGCCACAAATACTTAGCACCTCTCCTTTAACAATTTTCCTGAGAATATAAATTAAGAGCTTCATATCCCCACTAACAGTTTGCAGAAATACTAGTTCAGTGTTACTCCAGCAGGAAGTGTGCTGCTGATTGCATCAACATCCCTTTCCACAGCTCACATAAGAAGTGCATAAAAGGAGCAGCCAAACTGAAAGATTTTCTATTAATGTAGTACTAAATCCACTTGTAATTGTTACTTTGATATGAGTTATTCATAGTTGAACAATCTGTAGTACTATTAGAATTGTTTACTTGGAATACAGTATTAATAAATGAAAGAATGTCTTATTTCTTTTATTTCTTATTTTATTTAAATCTGCTTTGGGCCCATTTCTTGGGGAATAATGGAACCCAGCAGAATCCAAACAGGAGGTGTCATAGGACCTTAGTGAGAGGAAATGGCCTCAGGAAAGACTGGAGGCCCTAACGTCTTGATTCAAGTATTAAATATTTAAATACTAGCTGAAGTCTGTCAGAACTGTTTTTCAACCTGAATTATCCTCAGACAACTTCAATACATGGACACACCAACCCTTGCCACCCAGAACTCCGCAAATCACACCACTCTTTGTACTTAAGTATTCAGATAAAAAAAAAAATAGTAAGCCATTGCTTTAGAAGAATAGGACAGGCTAATAGCAAAGAACAGAAGGTGCTTCATGAAATTCTGCAGTGCAGAGTTGACTGCTTTTTTCTTCTCCGTTATTTCCAGCCTGTTCCTGTGTGTATCCCACTGAACCTTGAAAAGAATTATGAACTGCTTTACCTGGCAGAACAATTTATAGGGATTCCTGTTCTGTACTTAAAGTTTAAATTGCCAAACGTCACCAGGTAAGCATTTGCTATTGATAGACGTATGGGATGGAAGTTACGAGCACTTGTTCCCATTAATTTTTTCAAGGTGCAGAAAGAGTGCACTGCATGCATGAATCATATCACCATCTCTCCAGTGGTTAAAATATCTGTGTATGGAGAATGCATTAAGTGAATTTCTTGCATATACTAGCACTTAGAGGAAGCTGGCATCATTTGAAAGAGGGCAGACAAGAGTAATGAGTCTGGAGTCAGTGTATAGCATCTCTTATTGATAATACTCTATCCTTGAGCCACCAGCATAAACAGACAGCAGCTTTCTTGCATGGTAAAACTGAAGGGTTTCTTCCAGATACCTCAGAAGCAGGTAGGAGGCAGTAGCAGATGTATCCCAGACAGGCAACAGCACTCAGCTAGAGCAGACATGCTCCGTTGGCATTTGAACATGATCACATCGATGAATAAAAAAAAGTTGAAATCATCCAACCATTACAGTCCAAGTTACTGATGCTGTTGTAGTGAGAAGCGTGTGGACTGGGAGAAGAGAGAATTCAAAGTGATCCAGGCTTGAATGGGCAAAAAAAAAAAAAAGGGAGAGGGTTGATTGCAGCAGGTATAATACAGATTATATAAAGGTCCCATGGATGGATGGAGAAGAGAGCAAAAGATTGGTGCTTCTTCATGTACTTTGTGCTATTCTTCCTTTGAAGAAAAGAGCTGGTGTTGGGGAAGATGGGAGACAGTGATACAGGCACAGGAAGACATTTAGAATTTTCATCATAAGATTCAGATGTTACAGGAAAAATAATGACTGTATAGCTTGCTGTTATATATGGGAATGGCTTAAGTTTGGACGTTGATGCTACTTCTGTTTTGGGTAGAAGGCGTAACATGCTATACACATACTGCTGAGAAACAAAACCAGGTGCAAATCCCTCTCTGTGCTTTCCTTCAAGCAGCTTTCCAAGGACGCTGATAAAGCACAGTACTGTGTCTGCAGTGCTGTCTGCAGGATTTCCTTTACAGCTGTCAGAACAAATTGCCGATGGTAGCAACCTCTTTATTGCTCTTGAACTTCCTCACAGCAGCAGCTGAAATGGCAGTGTTCTTTGACTTACTGACCAAATAATTCCAGGGTAACAACAGGAACAGTTGAGCTGGTGATCCCCAGAGCCTCAGAACCTTCCCGAAAGGCATAAATATTGATAACTTTTTCCTCTGCTATGAACCAAGTTGACCTGGCATTAATGCTCTCCTGGAGGACCTTTCAAAGATGATAAATGTTTGAAACTATCTTAATAGTCTCTGTCTCTGTGTAAATAGAGAATGCTTTTCTGTGTGTTCATGTGAAAGACGATGACATCTAGTGGACAAAGAACAAGACTGGGAGTGAAAGTGACCCAGGGTCTCAATTACAGATCTGCTTTATCGTCCTCAGCAAGTCCTTATTTCTGTATGCTTTTTGTATCCTTGCCTCCTTAATCTATTGTACCTAGCCCAAAAGTTCTAGGAGACAAAGACTGTTTCCTACTATACTCATAGCCTCTCTACCACTGTAGCCAGTACTGTAATATAAATAACAATTTTGGTATATAAATAGATTTATATATACAATATATATAAAAATATATGTTCATCCAGTTCCCAAGATCCAGGCAGCAAATCCTCCAATTAGAGAATTAAGCCTATAAAGACAAGACAACAGTAACCAAAGTGACTTGCTCAGTTATAGGACCTATGTAGTCCTTGTTCCAGGACTGCATGTGACAACTCCTCCCCATTGTACTAGAACATATACGAGATCATGAATTTTTTTTCTTCCACATTGCATCTCCATAGCATGCAACAGAAATGTTACCTGTATCTTCTTACTCCAGTGGCAAGTGATATCCATCACATGAAAGAGCTCTGGTTCAGTTCCCAACCCTGCTATGAGCTTTTTAACTCCCAACCCAGGGCTTGAATCACAAGACTTTTCCCTGGATTCAGATAAACAGGGCTTGCATTGGATTCTGCTTTTGACTGGTATTATGCAAATACCACAACTGCACAGATACAGAGTTACCAAAAGTTTTACATCTGTGAACTTTGCTACCCTATTAGCAAAGGGGTATACCTTTATTACCTATATTACCCTATAACCCTATTTGCCTGGTTATACCAGGCTCCTCAATACCTCATGTATCCTTCCTTATTATTAAAATTCTTCCTTCACAATTCAGATTTTCAGCAGAATTTGATTTCCGGACATACGATGCAGAGGGAGTTATACTATATGCAGAATCCCTTGACAACACGGCATGGATCTTACTTGCTCTTCGTGATGGGAAGATTGAAATTCAATTCAAGAATGAATTTGGAACAAAAGTCACCAGTGGAGGCAAAGCCATAAATGATGGACTGTGGCATATAGTAAGCATGGTTTTCCCCTCTCCTCCCCTTCATTTAATTCCTATGGGAAAGATCTGTTTTTATATAAAAAGTTGGGAGAAACTGAACAACTTCAATAGGTTTAAGATGATGCCCCTCAATCCCAGATGTAAAAACCACCCAAAAAACATGCAAAGATGCCTTACATCTTGGAAATTACAGCACCTGTTTATCATTGCTGGAGAGATAATTACCACCAGCTGGCAACAAAGGAATTATTCTTTGTAATCATTAAAAAAAAGCAGCAGCAGAATATTAAAAAGTGTAATTGCATGAGTAGGTGCATAATCATGAGATACTATATCTACAGGGCAAGATTAAGTTTTGCTAGACCAGAAATCCAGCTTATTCTTCAAGCATGCACACCTTATCTTTCACTAAAATGGAAGGCCTTGTTCAGTTATAAGGTCTATGAATGACACCAAGTTATTAACAGCAGTTATTTTAAAAAAAAAAAAAAAAAAAAAAAAGGAGAAGCTTGAATATTACATAGACCTCCTGTTCCATTTCAGTACAACTTCCTTTAGATTAAAAGCCTGCTTTGTTGATGAACCCATTTTGTCCACATCCCACTTGGAGATTCAATCCTCTGTAGCAGGTTGCAGTGCCAGAGAACTGTATGCCAAATGCAGATGGAACATAGAGCAATTGTAGAAACCAGCTTCCAGCAAACTCTTTAGAGCATTGAGCATAAAGCAAACTTATCAGCTCTATGGGTTTTCCCAGAGGAAAAAAGTAGGTTGGACTAGGAGATCCTTATCCCATGAATGACCTTGGGTATGGGCAGTTACCTTGAGTCAGGCTTAAAAATCTCGAAATAGTGAGTGCATTAAAACCATTTTAAAAATGAGATATTTACAGAATCACAGAATGGTTGAGGTTGGAAGGGACCTCTGGCGATCATCTAGTCCAACCCCCCTGCTCAAGCAGGGTCACCTAGAGCATATTTCCCAGGATCGCGTCCAGGTGGGTTTTGAATATCTCCAGAGAAGGAGACTCCATCACCTCTCTGGGCAACCTGTTCCAGTGCTCTGTCACCTTCACAGGAAAGCAGCTTTTCCTCATGTTCTGGTGGAGCTTCCTGTGTTTCCGGTTTGTGCCCATTGCCTCTCGTCCTATCACTGGGCACCACTGAGAAGAGTCTGGCCCCATCCTCTTGACACCCTCCCTTCAGATATTTACACACATTGATAAGATAGCCCTTGGTCTTTTCTTCTCCAGGCTGAACAGTCCCAGCTCTCTCAGCCTTTCTTCATATGAGAGATGCTCCAGTCCCTTAATCGTTTTAGTAGCCCTTTGCTGGATGTGCTCCAGTATATGTCTATATTTAGACATATATTGTGTGGGCTTCATAAAATAATTGGTATTTTAAAATATTCTCTTATGTGCACATATTGTGTGTGTATATATATAATTATTTCTATTTAATTCTAGATATCAGTAGAAGAAGTAGAACACAGCATCAGTGTAAAAATAGCTAAAGAAGCAGTGATGAATATTAACAGCCCAGGAACTCTTTTTAAACAGTCACATGGTTTCTTGGAAACTAAGGTGTACATTGCAGGATTGCCTCGCAAAGTGGGCAACACTCTCATTAAACAGGTAACACAAAAAAATAAAAGTAATGCTGATTAAGGCTGTTCTGCTACTTCTGTTTTTATGTGTTGTTTGCTTAGTAGTCACAGAAGAAAAGAATGGCATAAAACCTATTTAGAAAATGAAAACAGAAAATAGGCTTATTAACTTCCATTTTGAAAATAAATATGTAGTCTGTCCTTGGTTAGGTTTCAGTTATAGACACACAGTGCGTGGGGGTAATCTGTCCTTCAGGATACTGTAGCCCATTTCCTAATATAGCTGTAAGATCCCCTAGATCACCACCATTTCTGCTGAGGAGAGCATTTCACAGTGATTCATGTTTTTGGTGCTGGCTTTTGCTTGGCCCTGAATAAGTATGGAAATCACTGTGCAGGTGGATTTCATTTTTACCAGGTTCTTTAATAGCCCAGGCTAGACAAGGCTCATGATTCACTCAGTCCTCCATTCTCAGCAGCTCTGTCTTACACTGGGGATTGGTACAATCAGGTTGTTGCAGCCATCTACTTCTCAGGCCAGGTGTCCTCAAACCTAGTGGCAGTCTCAACAGAGGGGAAAAAAAATAACTGAACATTAGAGACTATACTTCCTGTTTTAAAAATCCTTTTTGGTCAAAGTGAAGCAGAGAGGAAAAATATGAAGCCATACAACATCCCTTTACCTATCAGAAGGTCATTCCAGAAATTTCTTTGTACTTTCATACAAAGAAAAGATGAAATACTGAACAAGGAACAGTGCTAGTGATCACTGCCTTTTAGCTACAGAAAAGCTGTTCTGATCGACACAGGAGAGCTTGAGTTTTAGATTTGAAGCAATCTATTTTGTACAGACTAGTAACATCAAAATGGGAAATGTTTATTAAATCAGGAGTACCTTTTGAAGGCTGAGCTACTGCATGCATGGTATTTCTTTTCTCTCAGCATCAGTTCTGTAACCTATAGCATTGATATCATTACCATTGGCTGCCCAGTAATAAGCTGATACGTAAAGTTATTAACAATATTTTTAGAACAAGTTTGAATGTAAATACCCAGGGCTGTAACTCTTCTGCAGATTAACCCTCGGTTAGATGGGTGCATTCGTGCTTGGAATCTGATGAATCAGGGACATTCCGGTGTAAAAGAAGTCATTCAAGAAAAACAAAGCAAACACTGTTTAGTCACTGTGGAGAGAGGATCCTTCTACCCTGGCACTGGCATGGCAAAATTTCATATAAACTATAGTAAGTATTTTTCTATATTCTTCTGTATTTTATGCTGGACTGGTAATGGAACTGTTGACTTGTAAAGAATCAACAGACTAAGCTTATGTCCCACTGCCTGCAGCAGTGATTTCAGCAACTTCTGTGAGAAATTTACTTGAGCAAAGATTCTGGTCCTGATTGTGCTATCCATTTAATTCCTAAAGTCCTCTAGGTTAGGAAGCATATTCTTAACTCGCAACGGATGGACACAGTTGAACATCCATTTTCCAAAGATCTAATTCTGCCCCATGTTTGTTGTTAGAAGGGCTATCATATTACTGACAGAAAAAGATGACTAGCGATGGAGAAAAGAATCACCGATACATTTGTGTATGCAATTCTTTTTCTAAATGAGCATCCTATCTAGAGGTTTTGGGTGCACATGTCCGTTCTTCCTGAACCAAAAACTTTCTTACCTGACCTCCTGCCCTAAACTCTAATTCTGTAATCCAGAATCCACTTCTGTACAGGTGAAAGCCCAAAATACGACATGTCTTGAGCATCATCCTGAATCTTATACTCTTCCCCCATCCCAACTCCTATCCTACCCTTCAGGCCCTGTCTGATCCCCAAACTGATTTGTCTCTAAACTTGCTATTCTTTCCCAGACCTTTTCTTTAAATTCCCTAGCCCACTTCAGAGTTTTCTCCAGCTTTTCCCATTCCTTCCGCATTTCCAACCATCTCATCTTAGAGGTTCTTATGCCACTCAAGTTTCCTCAACTTTCCTCCTATTCATGCACCAATACCAAACCTCCATGTCTCCTCCAGACCTTTTAGGGGCTGCTGCTGTGCCTTCACAGCTCTCCTTTGTGTTCCTCTACCTTCCCTCCCGCCCCCGCAGCAAATCTCAGTGGCTGCCTACACCTACTGCTGCCCCTCCAATGAGCTGTTACAGCTGTCTGGCTCCCCTCCCATCTGGCTTTTTATAGGACTATGACTTCAACTCGCATTTTAGAATTTCTATTTCCTGAAGAACCTACCAGAAATCAACTTGGATGTGATTTGGGGGTGGGGGGAGGGTGGGGAAGACAGTGGCAGGAGAGAAACAAGAGACAACAAATAGCCTTTTAAATAGTAACTTTTATATTGGCTTCACTTTAAGCGCCTCACAAGACAGCATCACAAAGTTTTATTTGTGCCACCTTCATGTTTTACTCACCTGTGTATTCTCATTTTAACAGTGGAACTGTTATGGTGTCAGATGTATGAGAACTGCCAATCTGCTGCTCAGTGACAATAATTTATGAGTAAATTAAAGAGTGTCAGATTTAAACTTGCCTCTAATCAATGTGGCACCTGTTCCACATTAGAATGGAAAAGGTAGAAAAAACCCAACAAGCACAAAAGATTAAGGAAAGTGCAGAATTAACGTGTTTCTCTTTTCATATTTAAGGCTAGGTCTTTTAGGAAGAACTAGAAGTCTAAAGTTCACTGTTTTTCTGGAGATTAGAACTAATTTTTCCACAATGCGAACAGATTAAATACTAATTTTTTAACACCTTAATTTTTCATTGGCACATGGATTTATTAATTTCAATTTTTTCTTTTAAAACAGATAATCTTGACATTGCTGAAGATTGGCTAATAAATGTGACTATGACTATTCGCCCATCCACAGACACTGGTGTTATGTTTGCCTTGGTTTCTAATGAAACAGTGCCTCTTGCTTTGTCCATAGTGGACTCTAACTCTTCTGACTCACAGGTGATCTTAACGATTATCATAGCCGCTCTGGGCCAGAGCACCAACCCATATAAATCAACACACCTCTTCTGTCTATTTGCCTCACTAAACTTACTTATTCCATTTGTTAAAAACAAACTAAAATAAGTTACTTACTCTTAATTGCAGTGGAGCTAGAAGGCTGAATTAGTATTTTGCAAAGCACTTAGATCATATGGTGATGTGCAAAAAAGTTATTACTATTAATGATTGCTACAGCAGTGACCAAACTAAATACTCTTGTATTAGGTACTATCCATTAAGTCATGTCTTTTTTTAACTTTTCAACCCAAATACACAAAGCAGGAACGTGAACATAACAGAACTAGAGTGATAATTTAGCAATGGCAACATGTTAGTTTTGATTCATAAGTAGTCCTTAAGTTTCCATTTAAATCTGTTTACCTTAAGATAAGTAGATAGAAAATGATTGTGCACCATGGCTAAACCATGCATTTGCCTGAAATAAGAACCTGCAACGAAAACGTGGTTACCTTTGAAGCTGTACCTTTTGACTTTAAGAGACACAGGATTCCACCTCAGAACCATAGCCCAAAAATTGTTACTGTAGGAAGTTCTCAGTTATAAATTTAAGAGTGTAAATGAATAGCTTTGTTTTCAAAAGGTGATGGATATACAGCAACTATCAACCTCTGTAACTTTTCCTATTTAAGGTACCAGTTTTTTAAACGTGGCTCTAACATTTCCTTTTCTTTCTGCTTCCAAATACAAAATGCATCTGAACCAAATTAAAACGCATCAGAACTAAAATACATCAGAACTAAATTAAATGTATGTTAAAGTTATATGTGATGTGTTCCTCCCCCTATCTCCCGTTCTTCTATTTAGGAAATCATTGCGACCATTGGAAACATCACTGTTGCACAGCTGGAATCAAAGAAGCTGTGCACACCTAGAAAAGTGCTGGTAGGACTTCTAGTAACCAAACAGCAACTTGAACTGTCAGTTGATTCACACACGGACAGAAGCAACTCAGAGCAACTGTCTGTCCTGCATGAAGCAATGATGGCAAATGTTGTTACCTACTTGGGCGGCCTGCCAGGTGATCTGCTTTTCTTTTCATTAATTCATTCATTTGCACAAGCTTGATTTTACTCAGCCTTACCCAAGTCAGAAAGACCCCAAAACTGTACTAAAGGAAACATCTTTTTTTAAATGTATCTAGTTTTCATGCAGTCTGTTCAGCTTTTGATGGAGGCTGTTTTTCAATAGCAGCATTATTAGGCCCCTTTAAAGGCATGAGCTTCTCTCCAGGGGTTTGAATTTGAACATAGTCTGGGAAGAGCTGAGGAGGAATGAGCATTGTGCATTTCTGACATGTCACCAGCTGGCACATTTTAGGAACTGCATCAGCTCTGTAAGAGTCAAAACCAGGCATTTATAAGTAAATGAAGGGGCAGAAACGCAGCAGGAGGAGTCAGGGATAACATGGTTGTAACAATCACAGTCTTGGCAATAGATAATAGATGACTTTGAGTCAGAACACATGTTGAAACAAAAAGTAACATTTTGTTTAAAACAAGCTGCAAGTGAATCCCCCTTTAGATGCATACAAGCATTGTTTTGTGCAGGAAGCGATAAGCATGCTTATCTGTACAACAGTTTGTCTTCAGGGGCAATCATGCAGAAAAAACTGCACTGCCACAGGTGAGGATTTTTCAAAGCCTAATATCCTCAAAATGGAACATTCTTGAGGGAAAGACACCGTGGGTGCAAGGTTAAGTAACTACTGGTGGAACTTTTCTGCATCCTCCATTAAAGGGATTTTAGGAAGAGTACAACATAGTTCCTGAAGGAATCTTAGAAATTTGACCAACAGTTTTGAATTGACATCTGTTTTACATATAGGCTGTAATGCCATAGCACTGCCCCAGATATATCCAATCTTTACTCCTTATCTGCAGCGTAATTGTTCTGCAGGAGACAAGGGTACACCGGCATAGAAAGAGGGGAGGAACTGTATCCCTTGGAATTGCTCTCTTTAGGCATTTCTTCCAAGGTAACACACACAGGGGAAGCTGGAACTGTGGTTCCATTCTCTGGACTTCCCTGTCAGAGCAGAAGCAAGGTATTTTTGGGCAGCACTGCACGTACCACAGCCTCTGTCTTAAGTGTTAGCTGCCTCTGCACCCAGCTATGTATGTAGGAATTGACTTGTTCTCTACAAGTCTTGATACAGTGGTAATCAAGCATAGCATAGTTTAGGCACAAAGGAAGATAATCTCTCCCCTATTTTAGTTTTTGAACGGATATGCAACATCTTGGAAACCAGCTAATCGGGTAAGTTGAATTCAAATTCAATGTTGAAAGCGAGGAGAGCACTAATGGTGAAGTACCATCAGATAATGTGACAGCAAAAGCATCCATGTTTTTGTAATACCTACTGAACTAAATTCAAATAAATTTTAATTTAGTTCAGTAGAAAAGAAAGATGAAATCAGTATTTGCTTGGTAGAGGTGAGTCAGTAAGTTAATTGAACCACAGGAACTTAACTGTGATATTGGTCATTTCGTAGCCCTCCTCACCTCTGTGATATTTAAGCGATTCTTCCTAGCACACTGCCAGCTGTAGAGTAATTTGAGCCTTAAGAGCTTAGACCTTGGCTTAAGTCATGCATTCCGACTAAATAAGAAGCAAGTATTAGTCCTCGCTGCACCATACAACTAAGTTTAACTTTGCAGTTTTTGCAAGCTATTTTTGACTTGTAAATTAAGAAAAAATTCTGTATCTGTCAACAGTCTCTACACAGAGGTCTCAAAAATACAATATTATACAAAATAACCTCTTCCCCAACAGCCTCTGTTACCAAAGGCAGGAAAAGCAATATAGGAAAGCTACTTTAAATCCCAGTTTATAGCCAGTGTATGGCACATTCATCCATTTATTCATTCTGACTCACCTCTGAAAAACCTTTGGGTTACTGAACAGCATAAAAGGGTAGGTAACGATCCCCACACTGAGCTGTAGCACACAGAACTTGATGGTTCAAAATACACATAACAAAAATATGTATTTCATGAAGACGAGAATTCCCCTTTTTGGGGCATGGCTCTTTAAACTAGTAACAGTATTAGAGTATTTATTTTTGTTAATTCAATACAGTCAGTGCCAGCTAAATGAGATTTACACAGTTCTAGGGCATCAGCGTGTTAACACTGGGGCAACAAGGGCAAAAGAGCATGTTTCTGCAGTACCTCAGCTTACAGCAAAATAAAATCAGAAAGAAGCAACACGTCATACTCCCAAGACTATCATGGATATCTTCTAGGAGAGAGAGGATGATTAAATCTGAAAAATACACAATGCTCTTGAGGTCAACTTCTAGACATCCTCATTCTGTTACTGAAGGTACTTGGATTACCTTCTGTTTACCTTGCAAGAATCTGGCTGTACCCTCACAGCAATGCCTGCTTGATTCTGTGCTTAATGTAGTTTGCTAAAAGTGCATCAGTGATCTGGTGTTGCCGTAATCTAAACAATAACTAAATGAGCAACAGATAAAGTGGGTCTTCTGCAGAGAAGTCGCATGGAAGAAGCGGTAAGGAAGCAATAAAGCATACAGTTCCCAGGGGTCCCCTATCTGAGAACGTGCAGATTTGAATCCAGAGTAGCTTTCTGGCAAAAACTAAGTGGTTCTTCCAATGACCTCTAAACCCATAAACATCTGTTTGGAGGTCAGGACAAGAACAGTGGACTCCAGGAAACACAGTATTACTTCACTGTTGTTAATACAGGAAATATTGCTTAAAAAAAAAAAAAAGCCAAAAAAACCCACACAAACACTTATTTAGTTCCTTCTAATGCGTATTTCAAATTTTACCGACCTTTCTCAACTTTGCTGACTTCATCTCAAACACTCTTAAACAAAAGGGAGAAGAACTTACAACGTTCAACGTTTCCTGCCAAATTACTGTTTTTTTCCCATGGATTACTGATGGATAGGGAATGGAGTGTTCCCTGTTTTTTTGCTGATCTGAAAAATACATAGGATGTTGCATGCCTTGGCCTAATAAATTGAATGTGTTTTTGTGCAGATGTTCCTCTCGGTGCTACGTTAGTAACTGCTTTTTATAATGGCTGCATGGAGGTGAAGGTCAACAACAGAGAGCTGGATCTGGATGAAGCCATTTTTAAACACAATGACATTAGATCTCACTCGTGTCCACTGATTATGGAAGAACCATTCAATTCTTAATTTAACTTTTTCCTTTCAGATATAATTTGTGTAATTAGTCTCATGCCATAATGAAGCCTGTATTATTTTAATTCAGGATGTGCCAGGAAAATAATCAACAGCATATTTTTCCTCCCTTTCATGTAGCACAGGGAAAAGAAATCCCCTCTCTTTTCAGCAGTAGAGAGATATAATCAAGATCAAAATTCTGTAAAATGTTCTTATATTCATGTCAGTGATGAGACATAGTATGAACGTGGAAAAAAATAAATCTAGGTTTCAGATTTGATATATTTAGTTTGGAGAGCAAGTTCAGGAAGTTCTGGTTGGAACCAACTTCACATCTTATTTTTTATATATTAGCACAAAGCTACACGTTGCAAGTTTTGGCAGTGTATTTCGATCTAAGCAAAACCGTTCCCATTAAACTTTTCCGAACAAAACATACAAAGAAAAATCTCTACAGGTTTAATAATATGTGCTTTCAGTGAAGGAAAGAAACACCCTCGAATTTTGAGCTAAACCTTTCTGTAGATACATTTGCAAATTGTAGCAGTATTGTGGAAGTGACTTGAACAACAAGTATTTTTGTAAATAGCTCAAGTTTTGAGAATAGCTCTTGTTATACTATACCAGCATTCATTATTTCTATCTTATGAACCAAGCTTTAGACTTTTAACAACATTCTGGATCAGGTCAGGTAGTTCACTTTCAAAGTGGATTAAAATACAGCCAGACAGTTTTAGAAAACAGGAAATTACAGGACATCAAACTGGAATTTGCTAAGTAAAGCCGAAGATGCTTGTGGCAAACATTTCCTCCATTCTGAACAGATCTAGCACTCCCCAAGATGAGCACCCTCAAACGGTCACTCATGCTCCCCTTATTTAGGTCAGCTTTGCATCCACAAAGCCTCCAGAGGAGAAAATTAATTTGCCAGCCCTGTTACAGTTGTGTTTCTCATGTACAGGAAAGCCCAAATTTTGCAGAATGTAAAGCATGTTCCTGCTCAGCCAAATTTAAGGGAACAGGTAATTAGAAAAATATTCTTTTCCTCAGGTGTATTCATTTCAAGCTTTTCTAATATTTCTTTAGCATCTTTTGAGCGATCTTTCTACTTCCAGCCTCATTTCCACACAACCAGTAGCCTCCCTTTGGAGCTCACCTAGTGGTTTGGTAAACCCCAAAACAAATAAATAGCAAGAGAACGGCTGTAAGCAAGGAGTATATGCTCCCATCAGTCACATAGACATTTATCTGCCAGAACTCTTGACCTGAGGTTTGCTTTCTATGCTTGAGACATTGAAGTGGAAATGTATGTACAGAAGGATGGTTGATTCATGTTGAGGATTACTTTTCCCCAGGGATATTCTCCCTACAATAGTGGGGTTTCCTCTCATTGTTGCGTACTAACATCAGTAAATCAGTACTGCAGAACCTGAGCCCATCTTTCAGTGTTATTACTTTGTCTGAGACTTTTGTTAACTTTGCTTCCCATTTTTGCCCTTTAATATCACAGTATTTGCTGTGACTTTCATGCCAGCCAGCCTCAGTGCTCCAAATTCGTCTAGTGCTGTTCATATATAGCTTTTCTTTGGCAAGAATTGCACAAAGCCAGTGCCCGGTGGCTAACTGCCAGAGAACTACTGGTTCACTTCTCTAAAGTGGCATGCAAAAGCTTTGCTCTTTCAAGACTGGGGAGGGGAAAAATCTGCAGGAAAGCATCCCTTCCTGCTTTCTTCTGCCCATCCTTGGAACACATACTTCATTTGGGCCTAGGTCAAACAACCATCCTACCAAAATAAGCAGGTGCGAGGCTGAGCTGTAGTGGGACTTTTGACATCAAATACATTTTTGATTAGTGCATTTAAAGTATCTCGGCAGCAGACACCTAATTCTGGAAAGCTCCTGGTCAGCTCCTTTGCTTTGTACAACGAACAGAAATAATGAGATGGGGAGCACCCAGTAAAATGTCAGCAATACTGTAAATGTGCATATCAGGCTGTGTGAACAACAGAAAAAAGAGTGTTGGACTTCTTAGGGTTCTTTTTTTTTTTTTTTTTTTTTTTGCTCAAGTGTAATGGTATAAAGAGGAAAATGAATTACCCTAGTTTCCTGCTGGGACACCATTTGTTTTTGTTTTCATGTAAAAATATTTTAGGATATTGTAGTTGTAATGAAAACTCTGCACTGGGTTTTTGAATGTAAATGTGCCTCGTTATCGTAAGAATTAAATAAAAGCAGTATTTGCAAGTTTCTTATTTCAAGTTGTATTTGCATATCTTTGTTCATTTTCACTGTGCAAGACTCATTGTAATGGTCAAATGGCTTACTTAAGAGACAGTAATAGTCTTCAGCATCAATGAAAAAAATTACAACAGATTAATATGCTGTCCAAATAGAAATCCCTATTCTCTAGATAAATGTCTTAACTTACTAATTGTTTAATATTGCCTGAAGAAATTTAGCTTGGCTTAGAAACACACATGGAAAAACTGAGCTAGGTTGGGTGTGGACACCCTCACTGTTGACAGATTATCTCTAGAGTTACCATCTTCAAAGAATAAGAGCAGCCAACGTCCTTTCCAGTCATTCCAATCCAGTTTGTCAGTGAACCATGCACTGATGTTGTTCCTTCAATGGTATTAGTTTTAAGTACATGCTTAGTATCTTGCTGCTTCAGCAACCCTGCGATATCAAAATAACCACCCTGATTTGGGAGCATTTCCATTTGCCAAGCAGAACAGTCATGTACCCCCAAAAAATTAGATACAAGGAGAACTGTAACAGTTAGTACCAAAAGGGAAAAATAAGGCCTCTCTCACTGAAAAAGAAAAAAAGAAAAAGTGATATTCAGACTTTATTTTTCTCCCAATCTCTTTTTCTGACCATAGATCTGGAGCAGCAATTCTGAGCTTGGTCCCTGTCATTTTAAATAGCTTATTACCTGAAACGTTGGGGCACAAGTGCCATGTGACAGAAATTATGGACATTAATAGCACTCCCTGCAATTATTTTTTCTTCAGGTGATGGGTTTTTTTTTTGTTTGTTTGTTTGTTTTTTTTACAAATCATTTTGCATTTTTGAGTACTACTAATTATAGACAGATAGATAGATATCTATATCCTAAAAATAAAAATTGTTGGCAACATTATTGTACTATCACTGGAAATCAAAAGGAGGAACCACAGAAACTTCTGTCTAAACTACCTAAGAAAATTTAGTTTTGCTGTTTAGCAACACATTTTATCCACAAAATGACTATATCCCCATTATTACAGTGGTCATATCCTTTTGCTCTAAGAGCGGGCATGTTTCAGTGGGAATAAGTGAATAAGCAGCTAAATTTAAGCTGGTTGTAAGTAAGGGAGCTAATGCATTGCATATAGATGTTTGTATTCAGTCAAGCTGTTGCAAATCCACTCAGTTACATTTAATTCAGAAGTGAGTTATGTTGCTTTCTTTTAAAAAAAAAAAAAATACTGAAATGTTCTCTTTCCCACAGGAACTTGTAGCATCTCAGCAAATTAGGAAAGTGGAAAAAACACAAGTAACAAGAAACCAGGATGATGCAACATCAGTTTGTGAAGCCACAGATATCCCCTTTTGTCATTCACGATGTGAGCACCATAGGAAACAAAAACATATAAAGCAAAAAATCAAAACCAACCAACCAAAACAAAACCCCAAAGCTCTTACTCCATAAGTAATTAGGTTCATTTTAGGAAAGTCAGACACATGCAAAAATACCCTTAAATAAGCACTGTTGGCAGCATTAACATTTCCAAACACAAACGTTAACACAGAAGTATCCTCTGCTGCAGTCTGTGCCTAAGCATTTTCAAGATAACATGCTGCTTTTGTTTCAGCCTTTCAGCCTCAAAAGGTCTCTCGATTTTGGAAGCACCAAAAAGGTGGAAAGCCAGTCCATCTTGGTGCTCTGGCTCCTATGCAGTCCACGTGAAGATTTTCAGAGGAAGAAGAAAAAGCCATTTTGACCTAACAGGTATTTTAGCCTTCCCTGTGCCTGCCCCCCACCCCAAAACAGAAACCTCTTATAAGGATCGCAGTTTGCATTTTAACTTCATTTGATGCTTTCTCCTACATCAAACAGTATGTCATCAGTTCACTCCAAAGTCAGTGCTGACTTTTTTTTTTTTTTTAAATCTAGAAAGGTATTACAAATACGTATGTGTGAACAAGCATGCACGCACATAAACTGGAACTTTGCGAGGACTTCAGGCTGCATAATTCGCAGACTACCTCTCATTAAAAGAGTAACTGGAAAAACACAATGAAAGAGCAGGATAGTTTCCTCAGAAGCAAAATAGGTCCTTGAAGTACTTCTGAAAGGTCTATATTTTTCAAACCTCAATACTTCCATGTAAAGCAATGCCCTGTTTCTTAACCCTCATTAGGGAGCTGTGTTTCCCTTCCCCCTGTTACAAGGTAAACAAAAACAACCCTCTCAGCAATACAGTACTCTGCAGTTATAAAAAGCCACCTAAGTGGCTTTTCTAGATACAGGGCCAGGATCAGCCTCATTCTTTTCTGATCTGGTCAAGCTTGCTCTGCTGAACGCTCACCAGAGCACTAGACAGAGACTGTGCGCTCTAATAAGGCCATCCCACCACATAAATAAATACATAGCAAGGGCCACAGAACTGGAGGACAGTATTTCCAGAACTTACTAGTGGTTTTATACATGCTACCATGAATAAGATAGTAATTTATTAAAGATAGGGTCTTAAATGCTAGGATGTAAGAAGTAAACTTTAAGACACCTGATTTTTTTTTTAAACCTGATTTTTGTGAGTTTAGGGTAGCACAGAAAATGTAAATAGCTTTGCTTAAAATGTAAACCACAGGAAGCTACAGTTCATGTACAAAACAACCAATATTTCTGATTGCAATGTCATTCATGATATCTTACCTTTCTAGAAGAAGCTGATTTTCCAGCTAGAAAGGATCTTTTTCCTACCATCAAATTCTAGTATGACTCCCATTATGAATCAAAACTGTCCATTTGAGAAAAAAAAAAGAAAAAACCCTCAGCTGTCATTAGAGCAAGCCTTATTCTTCTCTAGCCTATCACAGACTACGTGATCATTCCCACCAGCTGGTCACAGACTCTTACTAAGCAAGTGAAATGAAAAGTCATCTTTTTCCCTTTTAAATCTGGGCAGAAGCCAGCTTTTTGTTTAAGGGGTTTCTATTGGAACAGAAGGTCAAGTAGATTTAACAAACCTGTTCACCTGGCTCCCCTATCACCTTGTAATTCATGTACTTCTGTTTCCACACTGGGCAATAGAGGCATTAAACAAACTGCGTAGACAAACTGAAATTTGTATCTTGGTAAAGGTTTACACAAGCTTTCACAGACTTTCAGAGCTTCCTAAGTAGTTTATTGGCTCTCTCACAAAATCCTTGAAGTGAGATAATTACTCTGGATTTGCCAGTTCCCACAGATGTGAACCAGAATGGTATCAGGATCTGCCCAAACTGCCCGCCGTCTGCTGGGGCTGGCCAAAAACACGAACTTCTCCTTGGAGTGTTCTTAAGCCTTAGAAATGAGATTAGCCTAGGTGAAGCAGTCAAGAGTGATACTGATAAGCTGTCTTTACAAATGAATGCTGCTTTTGTAGGCATTTAACTTTTTAGACAAGGATTAACAAACAACATTCCCAAGAATGTTCCATATAAAAAAAGATAGTCTCTTCAAATAATTGATGGGCAAGAACAAACATTGCTAGTAAGATGAGCACAGTTACTGTGTGTCTTTTTAAAGCAAGATGAGCCTTGCATTATTATTCTCTGGACTTTATTCACATGGGAGAGGCTTTAAAGAAATAATCTGACAAAGCATTAGAAATACTGAATATTTTTCTAACAAGCACGCAGGAGGTAATCACAATAATTTGGGGCAAGATGTGTGGCTAAGTCCCTTACATGTCGTTGAAAATCCTAACCATTGATTTAAATGATGTGAATGTTCTTTTAATATTTTTTTCCTGCAGAAAATAGATTTTTTTTTACTGCTGTTATAAAGCAAATAACTGTTTGAAAAGCTTATTCTCTCACCTGTTTGCACTCCATAACAACCTATTTTCTGAACTGGCTTTGGACTTTTATCAGGAGGTGAAGACATCAGGAGTCACAGGTTTCCCACCACTAACGATATTAGCAGTCAATGCTTTCAGCAGTTCCTTGCTCTGTTTTGGGTGTCAGTGATGTCATTAGCTGGTGCTGGTGAAGCAGAGCTATGACCTCTGATCTCCAGGGCTGAAAAAGTAGTTTAGCTCATCTATAAGAAATTAAGAACACACATTAGCCAATATTTGAGATGTATTGCTACTGCCAGAAGCCTAAAGAAACCGTTGCTAACCAAGGATGAAATTGATTTAATCAGCCTTCCCTACAAGCTGTTGTAGGTCCTGATTGAAAAAAAAACAACCAAACAAACAGTGAAACTCTTAAATTGACATTATTTCCTCAGGAATATGCACAATGAATATTAAACAGACCCCTGAAGCACTTTGTGCCTTTGCTCAGAACCAATTGTGTTTTTCTTCATTATGTTCACTGATATTTCTTCTGCTCATGTTGGGTTTAACGCTAAACTTGCAGAGGATTTGGTGTGGGGGCAGATGGCAAAACACTACATGAAAGACTGATTTCCAAGGGTGCAAAGCACCCAGGGTATTAGGCATCCACCTGCCACTGAAAGTCAACCACTCGGCTCCCCTTCATGCCTCTAAAATTCTCCTAGAATTACTCCTATACAGATAGAAGGACCTGAGCTATGTGCAATAACCCAAAACCAAAATTTGAATTGGCTGCTATTCTTTACCAAGAGAAAAGTCTCACTGGGATAAAACACAGAGGTTTTTCATTGCAGTCAGAGAAGAGATACAATAGGTCCAAAGATTCTCCACTTTGCAACAGTACTGCATTGGGAGATCCATTTCAACCTGGTCCTCTTAAAATAAGTATAACATATACAGAGTGAGAAAGTCATTCTCCGGACAGTCCAGAGAGCTAACAATTTCCTTTCTTAGAATCCTTCTATTGAAATTTTCCGTTCCTAGTGACAAAGAAAGCTGCAGGGACACTAATACCTTTTGCAAATCGCAGCTAGGCCTGTATGCCACTGTCATAGTGAGAGAGTTTGCGACTCCGGCACACTAATAAAATCCATCTCCACATCTGTTCCACTGGAGTTCGAAAGTCTGGTCACTTGGCCTGGCTATTTCTGAAC